GAAAAAAGAAAAGACTTGTAAAAGTGTAAGATTTGAGGTTTTCATGGTGGTGAAGATTCACATTATGATCTTACAGGTTGATACTTGTCCTCTGGTCAGTGGGTAAAGATATTAAGGATTTTTTCTTCCATTTTCAGGACAGAAGATTCTCCAAAATCATACCCACCTACCTGGTAACACACTGACAGAAACCTTGAAGACTGTAATGTCTGTAAATGTGCACACCTTGTTAACAAATTACAAGTAACAATCACAAAACAAACTGATCCATAGGGAAATCAGAGCTTGGCTTCAATTTTAGAATTAGCAATGTGAGGAATTAAGTTTGCTACCCATAAAAGTAATATGGATAAGAAGACAACACATGAAAATTGAATCTCAATGCAAGCATCTCACATTCAATAATTGAGATTACAGACTTCAAGCACCTTAACAAATTTATTTTCTCTTGCTACAGTTGTGCTTCATGATTCAATGTTACGATACAGACAAGTGTTTATCAGAAACTTTATACTTCTACACTTCAAGGGAAGTTGTAGGTGTGAATTTAAGATATGGATTTCAATTCATAACACGTTTATAAAAAAGTATGCAATAATAATCAAATTCAAAGTTTGAACTGCATTTAATAAACTATACATAAAACAAAATGCATCATGTACTCCATTATATAGAGAAATCAGTATGATCTGCCTTCTTGGAAATTCCTGTGTGTATCTGCGTGGCCTATCTTCATGTTCTCGGCACATTTCATTATTAGCCTTCCTTTCGTAGGGGCAGTTATTCGCGAAGTTGCCCAGTTTTCCACAACTCCAGCACCCTGATTGCCTTCCATCTCCTCGTTGGGTGGCGGACTATCGGTACTTCCGGTATGTCTTGGTGCTATCTTCGTGAGGTCTAGCTGCTATCTGTATCGCTTGTAGCTCTAGTGCTTGTCGGAGGGCCTCGTTTACCTTCTTCTCACCTCCTAGCAGCAACTGGATCTTTATATCGGCATCTTGTATTCCGTATACGAAGGCTGTTCCTGCCTCTCTTCCTATGTGGTCTGCAGGTAGATTGGGGTAGGCACGATGGGAAAGCAGTTCAATGGCCGTGGCAAAGTCTTGCAGTGATTCTCCAGGTTTCTGGGTCCTTGTTCTTAATTGGCAGCAGCAGGCAGCTGCAAAGGGTTGGTCACCGAAACGGTCCTCTAGTACCTGAAGCGTTTCCTCATAAGTTCAATTTGTCGGAATGCCAGGTAGCACTTCTGCCGCCCGGCCCTTCAGAGCGGTGATGAGGTATGTTAATTTTTCCCTGTCCGTCCATTGGTTGTGTTCTGCTACGGCCTCGAATTGTCGCTGGAACACGCTCCATGTTGAACTTCCGTTGAATGTCGGTGGCTGAGCTGTACTCGCTGTACAAGTAACGGCTACAATTAATTATAACACAGTTGCGGGGTTACACACTTTATAACCCTAATCGCAATAATCTGTTAACACTGTTGCGGGGTTTCACGATTTATAACCCTATTCGCAAATCAGTTCACTCTATCTTCAGTAGGCTACATGTATTCACAGTACGGGAGCTATACAAGTCTCTCAGTCTCACACACTCCCAAGTACACAGTTACACACATGTCCGGTTCTTCTTTCCGCGACGGTGGCTATACGACAACTGTAGTCGGCTGACTGGAGAACTGTTGTTAACACACTCACTCGTAGGCTTGCTCGGAACTAACTCGGAACTTTCGGCGATGGCCACGTTACAACTCAACTCCGCAGGCAGCGCAGCTCTCTTATATAGGGGCTGTGTGTGCCTGTTACGTGCCACGTCACAGTAGGAAGCGGTGCCGCATCACCGTGTTGCGTCACCGCGCGTTGCGCGTTACATCACCGTGGGGAGAGTGGCGGGGCGGGGACTCGCCTATTACCAAAGTAACGTGAGCGCTACGTTACCGCCACATACCGCTGGGGAGGTGGGTGTCCTCCGTTGCGCAACATGTCACAATATCATATTACAAGGTGGTTCAAATATGACTGGGACTGATTTTTTTTAAAAAAAAACCATAATTGCCAAACACTTACTTGCACATGTCGGTCTTCAACGTACTCCCCTCCAGAGTCAACACATTTTTTCCAACGTTCTGGAAGCATCCTGATGCCCTTTTAAAAAAAGGCTTGAGGTTGGCGGCATATCCACTCCCGAACAGTCTGGATGATGGCGTCGTTGTCCACAAACCGCTTGCCTTGCAAGTCTGATATGAGCCTTCCGAACAGGTAGAAATCACTTGGGGCCAAATCGGGACTGTACGGCGGATGTGTCAGAAGGTTCCATTTCAATTTCTGGAGGGTTTCCATTGTTGTTTTGGCCGTATGGGGGCGTGCATTGTCTTGAAGGAAGGCTACCTGCTTTCCACCTGTCTTCCGCTTGGATCGGTTCTTTTCCTTCACGTCTGTTGCCAGAAGGTCTGAGTAGTAAGCTGCATTGACTGTTCTGGCATCTGTCAGAAAGTTGTAATAACATGACCTAAAGTTAACTCAGCTCAGTCTTTTACAATCTTAAAAAATGTATACATTTAGGTTTTGTTCATACATTTTATTCAACTGTAAAATATTTATTTAGTGTCAGTTTATAGGAATATCAGCAATCAGGTTATAGTGCAATGCAAAGATCACTCCAGGAGATGTAAACAATGTAAATTTGTGGTTACTTCCTACAGTCAGGTTACACTGCAAAGCAAAGACTGCTGCAAGAGACAAAATACTGTACACCTGTAGCTACTTCAGAAGTACTATTATATTGCTATGCAAGGGCTGCCCTTACACTTTGTAAGGGCGGCCACACAGCAACTTTGTCAAACAAGCATCAAGACATGAGACAAAAGACGCAGTCTTGCTTCATTCATGATTGGTCAGCATCATTACTCAGACCAGTGTGTGGCAGTTTTCACCTCA